ATCTGAATTTTTAATAGCGTGGACAGCAGCCACTCAGAAGGCTTTTCTGCACGCTGGGCACCATGCGTGCCCGATCTCGTCTAAGCCTTATGACAGACACTCTTGTGGGGCAGACTCTGTTACCTTCCTCGCTTCCCAGACAAGGAAATCAAGGCTCGGACCGTCATGATTAGCCCTGGTGACACGGCAGCCACAGCGGCGTGGCATGACCTCCCGGGAGTCCTTAAACCGGCACGTGAGCGGCTGAAGGGGAGGTGCCATGGTCACCCAAGAATGGGCAAGTGGCCCCTTCTAACGGGGTGAACGAGGACCCCAGCAAATGGTGACTGGGACTCTTTAGCTACTGTGCAGGACAAAGAAGACTGTAGCTAGGTGGTGGTATGGCCGAATGAGGGGGGTGGCCGTTGTGCGTGAAATGGCACAGAACTGACGGCGGGAACCCGTAGAGGGTCTCCTGCCCGCCTCCTTTCTCATCAGATGGTGGCACTGAGGCCCGGCCCTTCCTAATGCTCGAGTTCCTTACTGGCCCTTCAGGACTTAGGCTGCGGGCATGGTTATTCTCTGATCTGCATTAGCAGGTTGTGCCCCTGATGGCTGCGGCTGACCGGCTGATGACACCCTGCCTTGGGCAGCCAGAACTTGATGGCTAGTAGCAAATGGACCTTCGTCGAAAGAATTCAAGTTGAGAACAGAGTTCACAGGCTCCGGGGTGGCCTTTGAACTCCGCCTGGGCCAAAGGAGGGGGGAGTGCTTTTCCTAGAGGGTTGAAGCTGGGGTTTTAGGCGGGGCGGGGGGGTAGGAAGAGAGTTTTGAGCTGAGCTGGAGCCGGGTGCAAAAGTTTCCCCTCCCTCGGCCCTCACCAGAGCACTTCTGTTGGCACGTCTTCCAAAGGTCGCTACCCTCTGGGTGACACCTGGGTCTGTGCTGCCATCTCCCAGGTCACGGGAGGACCACACGCCCTCCTCCCCACCCTGATCCTCCCCGTTTCCTGTTACATTTGGATATTTTTCTGGGGATTGTATTTCTGCCTCCCGCCAGCTCTCAGCACGTTGCCTTCCTAATCTGAGATTTTCCTTCCAAAAGGTAATTTATGCTGTTGCAAAGAAACCAAGCGTTTTTACAACTGTGGAAAGTCAGTCCCCATCTCTGATCTGTGGTTTTTCCCAAATTGCCTGTCAGGCAGCCGCTCTTTCTTATCCCTTTTCCTACACAGATTCTATATTGGACACATTCGGATTATAGCAGTGCTTTTACATTATTGAGGTTAATGCCGTTTGCATTTTATTCTCGAACTGTAATCACGTTTCCTGAGCCCTGCAGGGGGTTTCTGAAAATGGGAAACCAATACAGGGCATTTCGGATGTTTGCCTTGTGGATTTATTCCACCCCGGAGCAGAGCAGTACGTTTGGAGTAGGGCACACACGCCCGTCACTAAACTCTGCGTCCCAAGGTCGCGATGCGAGTGACCAGGTCAGATGAATTCTGTTTTTAGGTGCTCTCCACTGCTCATATCTACACCACATTGTAGTTGGCTTCACGTGTAGATGGTGAGTTACTCATTGGGAAATGAAGAGAAAGTTCAGGAAGAACACGGCTCCCCAGATCCTTAGGATGATCCAACCTCCGCAGCATCCCCATGGCTGGCTGACATAACGGGCCCTCTGAGCGTGCCGCACTGAGCATGCGCTCTTGGGGTTGTCCTGCCAAACCTGCATTCCATGTTTTCTTCCCTCTTTCTGGGATTCCATATGTGTCTGTTTATATACATACCCGTAGGTAACTTTTTCAGGACACGGGAGATCAACGTCCTGGGGTCTTATGCCAATGGTATTTTTATTTCTCACGTGTCACTGGTAGTGTGACTGGCTGCAGTTCAGAAGTGTAAAGGTATTGCTTCCACGCCCAGTGTCGCCCAAAGTCTCGTGTGTGGCGATTCTTATTTGTAACCTGTATTTCTTCCCGGAAGCCCTGGGGATTATTTGCCCTTGCTTAGTGTTCTGAAATTTCATGAGGCTGGGTCTAAATAATGACCTTCAGGTTTTCTCCTTCACCGGGGGTGGAACTTCTAGGTGAACCTTTCCAATCTGAAGACTTACGTCTGTCTCTTTAGTTCTGAGATTTTGATAAAGAATATTTTCGTGATCATTTTCTTATCTCCCTTTTCTCTGTTATTCTGGGATTCTTTTTTTTTAAGTTTATTATTTATTTTGAGAGAGAGAGAAAGAAAGTGTGTGAGTGGGGAACGGGCAAGGGGTGGGGGCGGAGAGAGAGAATCCCAAACAGGCTCTGCATTGTCAGCACAGAACCTGATATGGGGGCTCGATCCCACAAACTGTGAGATCACAGCCTGAGCTGAAATCAACTGTCAGATGCTTAACCGACTGAGCCACCCAGGCGCCCCTCCTTCTGAGATTCTGGATGGAGACTTCCTCTCCTTGGCTGATATTTGACTCCTAAAAGTTCTTGAAGATGTGAGTTTCCAATAGTTTAACTTTCTGTTCTTTTCTGGAAGAATTCCTTGACCTTTCCTCCCTAGTTACCCTATTTTTTTAAATTTAGCATTTATATTTTTACTTTTGAGGTGAAAACTTTTGGGGTTGGTTTTGAAAAAAACTCTTGGATTCACGTGGTTCAGACCACTTCACAAGGTGTATATAATCGAAACTTCCTCCCATCCCCCTCCTCCGTCACGAGGTCTCAAACACTTTGGGGAGAGAGTGGAGAGTGAGGGGTTAGTGCGCCATGGGAGACAGGAGACGACGGTATAGGTCAGGTGAGGCAGCCCTCCCCTTGATTTCTGCTCTTCTTCTAAATCCCCTTCTGGCACCTCCTCTCTGCTGGCCTGGAGCTTCTCCTCCTGGCCATCTCGGTTTCTTTTTCTCTTTAAAAAAATTTTTTTTAATGTTTTTTATTTTTGAGAGAGAGACAGAGTGTGAGCAGGGGAGGGGCAGAGAGAGAAGGAGACACAGAATCCGAAGCAGGCTCCAGGCTCTGAGCTGTCAGCACAGAGCGTGATGCGGGGCTCAAACCCATGAACCACGGGATCATGACCTGAGCCGAAGTCAGATACTTAACCGACTGAGCCACACAGGTGCCCCCCTGCCTTTTTAGACATTTTTTAAATTTATTTTTTACTTTTTTATTGGCCATCTCTGTTTCTGATTTACGGCCATACGTGCCCCAATCCTGACTCACCTACCTGCCTTCTGGTTTTTAGAAACTCCTCAACATCTCTGGTTTGCCGATGTTCCCTTCCACTTCCATTTTTAGGAATTTTAGGTTATGAATTTATCTCCTTTTGTCTTTCTCTGCTGTCATTCTGGGATTTTCTGAGAAGTGATGATTAAGTGGGACCGGGAGAGCCAATGTCGGATTTTAATCAGGAGTTTGACATGGTCAGTTTTGCGTTATAAACAGGCTCTGTGGCAGACAGTGGGGGTTGGGGGGAGAGGATGTGGGGCTGCCACTTGTCATCGAGCTGTGAAGGAAGACAGCACGCCCGGGGCAGAGGCCATGGAGTTGGAGGCAGAGTCGAGATATTGTTGATGTGTAAACTCTGAACGTCTGCCGCGGGGAGGGTTGACCTCTGATGCCAGCCAAGGGGTCAGACAGAAGTTCGGGGCAGAGGGGCCACAGGTGAAGCTACATAGCCCAGAGACAAGGACAGGAAAGAACCCCGAGAACCAAATACGGGCCCTGGGGCCGCAGTCAGTGAACAAGGGCCGAAGATGAGGCTGGTCAGGGCCAGGCAGGGCGGGACCTCGGGCCGGGCCGGTGTGTTGGTGCTGAGATCACACGTTGAGTGAGGTGGCTACCGGGTGGGGTCTTTGGGGACAGGTGTAAGGGGACTTGCTGACATGGTTGGATGTTGGGCATGAGGAGACGGGCGGAGCCCAGGGTGACTTCCGGGATTCCTGGGCAGCCGGGTGGCAGCGTCACCCAGACGTGGGGGCTTCGGGAAGGCGTTGCGCGGGTTATGGCTACAGCGCCTGCGGGTTGAGCGGTCGCGGTAGGTGGTTGAGTTTGGAGCTCGGGGAGCTTGCGCTGGGGGGTCCGTCCACCTGGCTCCGGACCCACCTCCGCCTGCTTCGCACCCGGTAGTGTTCTCACTGCCAGCCTCGTGCATGGCACTCTCTTGGTCTGCAGGCTCCGTCCGTGCACTGACCACACTCAGGCTTCCCTCCCCTCGCTGAGCCGCACCGTCTCTGGTTCCCTGCCTGTTTGCTCCGGTCTTACCGCCACAGACCTCCCGGAGCAGCTGCTTGTAGATGACATCCGACTTCCAGTGCTGACTTCAGTACCACAGCTAAACTGCTGGGGTTTTATTTTTTAATGAAAGAAAAAATTTTAAGTCAATTTTTACTTAAGGAATTTCATATGTGATTCCTTCCGCTGCCAGTCACCTTAGTCCCTCCAAAGTCAGAATCATACTCTTCAAAATAGCCTTTTTAGAAAGAACGTTTGTTTAGTCCACAGCTGTCCCTGTCAGTCAGTCCACAGTTGTTACCTTGGGTTTCTTTGATCTCCATTTGAATGTGGGACATGATTCAAAACTTCCCCTCCTGTAATCTTTGGGATCCACTTTCTTTAGGGCTACATGTAGGTTCAGAGTAGATGGATCTGCCTGGTTCTCAATTTCAGACAGCCTCTAACCACCAAGAAGTTCCAATCCTATTCACCCCTAAACTGTCACAACCGAGAGCTATACAGATGGTTGGTACATGCCAATACCTGAGCTTTAAAATTGTGACTGTTAGGGGGCACCTGGGTGGCTCACTCAGTTAAGCATCTGACTTCTGTTCAGGTTATGATCTCACGGTTCGTGAGTTCGAGCCCTGTGTTGGGACTCTGTGCCGACAGCTCGGAGCTGGAGCCTGCTTCAGATTCTGTGTCTCCCTCTCTTTCTGCCCCTCCTGTGCTCACACTGTGTGTCTCTCAAAAATTTAAAGAAAAATTCTTTTTTAAACATGCTGTTAGATGTTTCATAATTTTAGATGATCGAGGTCCTGGAGTTCTTTCCCTCAGATCTAACACACAGTTCTGTGAATAAAGGAAACCACACGTATGCCATGAGGCATTTCCAACAATGTAGGTCTGCAGAATAATTCCCATCAGGATAGACCTCAACTGCTTTATTTTTTCTAATGTAGAGAATTATAAAGCTTTATTGAAAGACATTAAAGAACAGGTCCTGTCTGCGCCCCTGGGTGGCTCAGTCGGTTAAGTGTGACTTCAGCTCAGGTCATGATCTTGCAGGTCGTGGGTTCGAGCCCTGTGTCGGGCTCTGTGCTGACAGCTCAGAGCCTGGAGCCTGCTTCGGATTCTGTGTCTCCCTCTCTCTCTGCCCCTCCCTTGCTTGAGCTTTGTCTTTAAATAAATAAATAAATACTGAAAAAAAAATTTTTTTTTTTTTTTTAAAAAGAGCAGGTCCTGTCAGTTACGCTTCTGAAATCCGTCCCCATTCACTTCTCTTTGGTCTTGCCTCTCCTTCTCCCCTGTTCCAGGAGAATCCTGTGTGGTCTCTGTGCATCCGTGCTCACCCTTTTAGCCCATTCCTCATGTAACAGCAGTCTTTCTAAAATGAAAACCTGATGGCACCTCCTTCCTTTACCTAACACTCCCAGTGCTTTAGGATAAGGGCCCAGCTCCCCCACTGTGTGAGCGCCGTCTACATGATGCTATGTCCGTTTCAGCCCGTCACACGAGGCGTGTGATCTCAGGGTGTCCCGTTGTTGCGTTGCTAAATCTCATCACTTGGTTACAGCTGTGTCTGCCGGGGCCCGTAAAGGGTATGTTTTCTCCTTTGAGGATTCTTGCCCGAGTCCGTTATAACCGTGTTAAATGGTAATTTTCTTTCTTTTTCGTTCCTTCCACTTTTATTGGTTGGCATTCTTCATAAAGAAGAGTTTTGCCTTTTCCCCGCTCTTCCTTACATTATTTTTTAAAATATCAGTATGGACTTATGGAATTTTATTTTCATTCAATGTGTTATGATCCCTTTGTGTTTTCATTTTGATGCCCAGAATCGGCCAGTGGGAGCCCATTCAGATTCACTTCTGTAAGTGTTCCCATCAGTTCGGTGAGCACTTCCTCGCTTTCGGCCACAGAAAGGTTTTTCAAGCTCACATTGGATTTTGCAGCTTGGGAATCAGGTATTTCTCCAAGGAGCCCTATTTCCTTTTCAGTGGAGAGTGGTATTTAGAAACCAAGTTTTGGCTCCTTGTGCGCATTGCTACAGGAGTGTCATTTTTTTTTCTAGGCCCTCACAATGAACAGAACTAGGAGATTTTCTTTTTTTAATAATGAGTTGGAAGAACTCTTGCTTACAGTAGAATGCCATCTAATTAATGAGTAGGAATGCTTGAATTAAGCAAGTCAGCATTTGGCAACAATCCTAGTAATGACCGGTTCAGGCAAGAATCATCAATAGGTGGTAAAACTCATTGGTGAAAGTCTGATGAGAAGCAAGATATTTAAAGTCTCGAAGTATCTATTACAAGGTATCTACTAATTACAAAGGGAAAAATAGTTACAGTGGAGAAATGTGGCAGACACGGTGATAACCAGGTGATCCAAGTTGACCTCCTCAGTAATGGGACATATTGATAATACTTACCTCCTGATGTCTTCTGATGGCTTGTGTGTAGACAGGCTTAATGTTCTATCAGAAGCAGCTGTTTTAACCCTAGCCATAGGAGAGTACTTTATGGGGGAGAAGACAGGGTATCTTTTTATTCTTGTTTGGTTTCACACAGGGGCCCTTTCTCTGAGGGGCTCTTATTTCATTTGAAAATCAGAGTCTGGAGCCCAGCAACCAGGATCTAGCCCTGGACCCCACCTGATACGTGAAACCAAAATAGGAGACTCACCAAAAAACAGCCGCAAAGATGAACTCTGGGAGACCCGGTCCTGGGCCCCATCTTTAATCTCAGTGAGTTGATTCAGACCATTCTGGACTTACTCCTTGCCATAGTGAGCTGGTAGGGAAAACTTCTTTTTCTGCCGCGCGTATTCATCCTCTGTTGTTCTTGGGCAACTATGAAGGACGTGTGGCATCCTTTCTGACTACCTTTACACGTGGCGGTGGTCTCAGCTGAGGCCCCAGCCAGGTCCACCCCTGGGATTCAGACACGTCTGAACTTGTTAGAGTACGTGAGACTGCCCACCCCACCCCACCCCTCCAGGAGCCATTGCAGGTGAGGGTCCTGGCCTCATCAGAAGCACCTAGCCTGAACTGTCAGCACAGAGCCTGATGCAGGGCTCGAAACCATGAACCATGAGATCATGCCCTGAGCTGAAGTCAGATGTTCAACTGACTGAGCCACCCAGGCGTCCCTTTAAAAAAAAAAAAAAAAAGGTTGTTTTTTTTTTTTAATGTTTCTATCCATGACAACTTTTTAAAAACCTTTTTAGTCTGGTACCATGAGAAATATGAAAAATGGGAAGCAAGTACTCAGCGTAAGGATTTCCCTCTTTTACGGATGGCCTCTTTCTTTCTTTTTTTTTTTTTTTAAATGTTTTATTTATTTCTAGGAGAGAGAGAGAGACAGCATGAGCAGGGGAGGGTCAGAGAGGGGGGGAGTGACAGACTCCGAAACAGGCTCCAGGCTCTGAGCTGAGAGTCAGCACAGAGCCCGACGCGGGGCTCGAACCCACGAACCGCGAGATCATGACCTGAGCGAAAGTCGGATACTTAACCGACTAAGCCACCCGGGTGCCCCTCGGATCATGACCTGAGCGAAAGTCGGATACTTAACCGACTAAGCCACCCGGGTGCCCCTCGGATGGCCTCTTTCTGAACTAGAAGCTGAAGCTCAAGACCGTTCACAGGCCCCTCCCGCCCCGCCCCCATGCCTTGTTTTGCTTAGAGCTACCAAGTGGGTGTTAAAACACGTATATGTGATTAAGGAGCCAGAGTTCTGTTCTCTTCTTACAAATTCAGGCTTCTATTCAGCACTTGTGTGCCAGGCCCTTTATTGGTGTTTTGGATTCAACAGTGAACGGAAGAGTCTTGCCACTGCTGGGCACATGCTTCCGTGAGAGGAGACCGAAAGCAGGGCTTCGTGGGAGGTATTTGGGGAGGGTTCCGTGGGAATCCGGAGGTGCCCCGGGAGCGGTGGGCTTCAGTCCACACTGGTCTGCTTCCGAGCAAATTTCCGCAGCGTGAGCTCGGGTGCGTGTCTCGGGTGGAGAGGGAAGCATGCGGGTCTGGGGCACACTGCTTTGGTTCTTCTGTGGATTCTCCCAGGAAAACGGAGTTGGGATGGGGGCGTAGTCTCCCGGGTCAGCAGAAGAGGAGAAAGCCCTCTGTCTGACTGCTGTGTCGCAGGAGCCCCTGTGGGCTCCCAGGGACAAGAAGGAACAAAAGAAAACAAAACAGTGCCCATATGTGGGGCTGCTTCCTCAGAAAGCCACATCCCAGCCTGAGGTCCGGGTGCGGCTGGCCGCCCTGCCCGCCCTGCCCGCCGCACCCCCGCTTAATAACAGCCCCTCGGCTCACAACAGCTCTTTCACCTGCATTGTCTGGGCACTTACCGGCCTTGCTCTAATTAAAGTTCCGCCAGAATTTCTGCTCGATTTTGGGGGTGCATTTTTAATATTCATTGTGGCAGCCTCCAGCCCTGCTGAACTGCCTGCCCAGGTGATCCGGGTTGTTAAGCGGTGTAGTTAGAACATTTTGTAGGTTTTGAGGGGTCTGCCCTGAGCCCGTTTTTTACAAGAAGTCCTGTCATTACTCGTGTGCACTTTTAGAGAATATGAGGTTGTCTAAAACTGGATTATTTACACGCTTTAAAGCAGAAGTGTTTGTATTACACAGGAATACAACTTGTGAGCTAGACAGAACATAAAGAAAAAAGTCCCCAAGCAAACAGGAAACGATTCAAGAAACGGCACAGAACTCCACGTGCATTCACTTAGCGATCTGTATTCATAAAGCGTTTTGAACACATTATATCTGCTGATGGCCCCACCAGCGTGGAGGTACGTTCCGCAGACACGTTTATCCGCATTTTTCTTTTCTTTATTCCTTTTAAAAAAGATTTTATTAAAAAAATTTTTTTAAGGTTTATTTTCTTTTTGAGAGAGACAGAGTGCAAGCAGGGGAGGGGCACAGAGAGAGGGAGACACAGCTTCTGAAGCAGCTCCAGGCTCCGTGCTGTCAGCACAGAGCCTGACATGGGGCTTGAGCTCATAGACCATGAGATCATGACCTGAGCCAAGGTCAGACTCTTAACCTACTGGAGCCATCCAGGCACCGCCCCAGTTTTTTTAATGTGTATTTTTGAGGAGGTGGGGGGCAGAGAGCAAGGGAGACAAAGAATCCAAAGCAGGCTTTAGGCTCTGAGCTGTCAACACAGAGCCCGATGCAGGGCTTGAACCCCTAAAGCTTTAATTTTTAAAAGCACCCACACGGGGCTCAAACTCAGGACCCTGAGATTGAGTCGCACACTCCACTGCCTGAGCAAGCCAGTTGCCCTGACGTCATTTTTCTGAGGCTGTACAGACGCTGTACAGCCCCGGGGCACTGGCCAGGTAGCTGCCCTCGGGCATGCGCTGCACTAGGAGCATCTGAGAGCTGGACGCCTTGCTCTCTGACACCAAGAAGGCGGCCTGGTTCACCGAGGCTGCAGAGCCAGAGAGGGAGGAGACCCTGCCCCAGAAATAGGCCAGCACTTGTCACGCGGCACTTGGCGATTCCTCTTTCGTTATGTAACCTCAGTGCCCACATTGTTCCCTTTGTTGATCCCCCCATGTGACTGCTTTTCTATCAATCTCCTTAGCTAATGAGCCCCTTTTATGGAGAGCGGGTAGATCACAGCACCACTTCACACACAGTAGTGCCGCGTAGCCACTTCCCAGAGTGTGGACTTGCCCAGAACACCCTTTTTGTGTGAGATAGAATTATTCCTGCTTGTTTGGAATAGTAAAGCTGCTTGTGCTTCCTTTATTCATCTCTACATTGCCCTTTTGATACACCGCCTGTGTTTGGGGCAAACGTCCGGCTTCCCGGGCCTTACTGCTGTGTTCAGGGCCCTCCAGGCAGAGCAGAGACCAGCAGAGGGGCAGATGCAGGAAAACACTTGGCCCCTGCCCTTCAGGAATGTTTAGGGGACACACACACACACA